GGACGTGACCCGCCAGCACCGCATGCGCGTGACCTTGAAGCTGCCTTCCTTGATCTGCTCGTTCGGCAGCCGCACCTGGAAGTTGAGCTCGTTGTTGCCAGCACTGACGACGACGTGACATCCCTTCTCAGGAAAGTCGGTGACACAGGGGTCGAACTTGAGATAGCCGTAGTACTTCAGGGTCTGCGCCAGGCGGATGAACTGCGGGCAGAGCCAGGGAGGCTCAGCACAGCGGGCGGCCCCCCCCCCCACCCCGCGACAGGCAACGAACTCAGCACCACCCGTTCACATGGGAGCGGTGCCAGTCCGGCGCTGGGACTGCTCCAGTCACAGCATCACGCACTCCCCTACCTCCTTCTTGGAGACTTTTTCCTGCAGGGACTTCAGCTGCCGGTGCTGTTCCTTGTTGACAAGGATCCACCCATGCTCGATGTCCGACACCGTCTGCCAAGAAGCGGAGGCTGTTGAGCAGCTGGGCCCACAGCCACCCGAGACCCCGCGCAGCCCCAGCCGAGGGGTGCGGTGCCCCTCCTCACCCAGCTGGGCCGCACCGACCCTCACCTGCGCGTACAGCAAGTTCAACCCCACGCGATGCTCCATTACATCGTCATCATAGGAGGAGTCCCAGTAGCTAGAAGGGAACCACACAGGTCAACCTATTCCCCAGCTCCTGGCAGAGATGGGGAGAAAAAAACACCCCCCACGCTGGGACAAGGCGCCGGGCTGGCTCTCTGACCAGCCCCCCGGGTGGCTGCCAGTTGCCATGCCCCACTCCTCCTCTCAAGCAGCTGCCAGAGGTGGGAAGGGATGTGTCGGGGAAAGCGTAAACGGGTGCCAAGCCCAGCAGGGCAGCCCAGCCCCCAGCGTCATGGCTGGGGACACCCAGGCTGTGTTCCGGGGGGCCAAAGCACCCCCACAAGCAGTGATGGCACAAGGGGAGGGGTCCCTCTGTGGAGCAGGAGCCCCAGACATCCCCCCAGTGTTCAGCAGTCGCTGCCTCTCACCTCTTGCGCAAGATGATCCTGAACTCATGGTTGTGCAGGCTGGTCACGGACACGTACGGCAGCTCAAACTCCTGCAGCTTCCGCACGACTGCAGGGAAACACCAGCTCAGCAGCGGCTCGGGGCAGCAGGAGCCCCCCAGACCCCCGCCAGCCAGGACACCTCGGGGGAGCCCGCTGGATCCCCCCACCCGGGGCAGGGCCATCGGGTCCAAGCACACAGCTCTCGCTCCGGGGCAGGGTGCAGGGCAGACGTCGCGCTGCAGCTCTCGTGGGGCTCCAGCACGCTCTACTCACAGGAGAAGGTTCCGTCCTTGGTCTCTCTCACAAGGAAGAGGCTGAAGTAGCCGACCAGGTCATCTGGCAGATCCAGCTTGGAGGCCACAGCCTGGGAGCAAGAGCAGGAGGTCACCACTTCCCGCAGAGGCAGCACTTCTGCGTCCCTACCCTGCAGCAGGATCCAGCCCGTGCGCCGTCTGGGGCCTCCCAACAGCGGGAAGGCAGCACCTCTGCTGCGCTGGGGGCCCAGGCAGGGGGGGAGAGTGGACAAGGGGAAACCAGGGTGTCACGGCCACCACGAAACAGCTGAGGGCCTCCCAACGTCAGTCTGGGCCCAGAGAGGGGCAAGAGCACATCGGCACACCCTTCCCAGCCCCACTATTCTTCAGCTCCCCTAGACAACCCTGTTCCGGGGCAGGGACAGGGCAGGGAGGGCCGGGGGCTGCCAGGCCGAGGGAACTACTGCACACATGGGAAACCACAGAACACATCTGTTCAAGAAAGATGAAGAGCTACTGGAGAGAGTCCAGCGGAGGGCTACAAGGATGATGAGGGGACTGGAACATCTCCCCTAAGAGGAGAGGTTGAGGGAGCTGGGCTTGTTCAGCCTGAAGAAGAGAAGGCTGCGAGGGGACCTTCGAAATGCCTCTAAATATCTGCAGGGTGGGTGTCAGGAGGATGGGGCCAAGCTC